GAGCGTACCTTGCAGCTAACAGCTAGCTAACCTCTGGGTGACAACTCTGCAGACCATCATGTAGGTGGAGTAGAAGCACGCGTGATGCCAGCTGCGCTGACAACAGATTTCCGCCGCAAGGCACTCACATCATGTAAGGCGTGCCTCCTCTTGGCTGCTGCCAATGGGGCCACTGGAATCGCGGGGGAGGCTTTTTCCCCTGTGCAGAAAAACGGTTGGAGCGGGCGTTTGCATGCTGAAGGCTTGTGTCAACAACGTGCTGCGGGCTAGTTACAGCGCGGGATGCCAAATCACGGCAGGGGATGATTCACTATGGTGGGGGTGTCACGATCGGGAATCTTGGCTCTGGGAGAACACTCGAGAGGTCGGAGGCCGAAATGTGCAGCCCCGCGCTTCGGTGATCTGGCCGTGAGTGTCCCCGGATTCCTATCCAACGGGTTTCGGCGGTTTGGCAGCATCCCCGGATTCCTATAAAACGGACTTCGGTACGGAGTGAAGATCCTTTCCCCTGGTACATAACTACGCCTGATATGCCGGAGTTCAATATCTCGACCTCGGATTGTCGTACGGACTGAAACTGTGCGACCGCCGCCGAAAGGCAGGTGGAGGTATAGCAGTGGTCACTCACCGGAATCACTCGCCAGGTCTGGCCCCCAACCAACGTAGGGAAAGCCAAGGTAGGCGGGGATAGATAGGTAGTTGGCTGACCGTGCAAGCATACCCCATCTACGAACCTGTAATGGTCCCTCGAAGGGGGAAGAATTAGGCACGGCCGCCGCAGTGTCCGTCCTCCGTCCTGCCCAGCTTCCCATCTTCCCAGCTGCCCAGCTGCCACATGCCGGCGGTGCCGAGACATGCAGCTGCCGGACTCCAGCAACTCCGACTCCCGCCCAGGCTTCTCTACGCACATACCCGAAGGTCGATACGTTTGGCGAATGTGCAGATGACTATTGAGATCGTGAGAGCAAACAAGCTGTGGTTTCCATATCTATGAGGTATGCACCACTATCGAGGCGCTTCCGACGATACTTCATGGTGCTATGGAGGACTCCGATACTGGGGTAAGCGTCTGCTATACTAACTAACTAGTAGTTGCATGGGAGATCGACGGTGCTGCGACCACGAGAGCCAATGTAGTCAAGCTGCCATGGAGGGAATGGGGGGGAGTGGGGCTCTAGGAATAGCAACACGGCATTTCTTTTGCCCAACCATCTCATGATCATCGTCCATCCTACATCCATACGAGATATTCCAGGGCTAGGGATGTCAGAACCCCCAAGGAAGCGGAGGAGAAGAAGTTAATGCTGGATCACGGATACGGCCAGAGGCCCAGAGCAGGATCGCGAGATCCCACCGCACTGATGCCGGTTGTTTTCTGCGTTCGGAGACCCAAGTAGAAGTAATCTATGTACGTGGTCGCGAATTGTGCAGCGATGTGATGGCTCTGCAGGAGCTGGTTGACGGATAACTATCTTCTGCTTCTTCTGACATTCCGGATTCAGCCGTTTTTCACGACAAGAAGCGAGCCAACCGAGAGCTAGCCCCCCAGCCAGCCCCTAATGAAGATTCTATTGGCTGATGGTTGGCAACAACACAGCATGAAAGCCAGCCCACCATATCCATCTTTATCCTGAGCTCCAGCTCAGTTGTGCTCCGTCTTCTGCAGCTAGTAACACAAAAGAGGCACTATGACGAATTCTCACCGCTGGAGGAGCTGGAGGATGAAGAGGGACTTCTGCCTGACTACATGATCTGCCCAAGTCATTGTCTCACCAAATCATCCGGATTGCGATGCGGACTCGGCGGGCCTAGCCGGCAAGGGGAGGATGAACTAGATGCCGTCTCGGAACCCGGATGGATTGAAAAGCCCCGACCCGCTGACATGATGAGGAATCCGAACTGCTCGTAATCGAGTCGGTCTGCGAACACAACCAGGCTGGCGTGATTTCCGACGCATCATCGCCATCACCGGATCGTTCCACTCGAACCGCGTGCCTCCTTCCTGTCCTACACACTGCTGGAAGGTCCCAAGTGCGCCCAGGCCTCGAGCTCGCGGTCATCTCTGTGGATTTTCTGGTCGCGGGAGGATCAACTACCGCCTGGCACTATCAGGAACCTAGGAATACTACCCGCGCATTCGACGCCACCGCCAACTGTAGTACCACATCGCTTGCCAGACGATAGTTAGCAACTTTCTCAGTGCTATCCACCGGCTGCTTGATAACTGGAATATAGAGTAGAGCGCCTGGAGTTCTCGAGCCCTGGCTAATAACATGCATTAGCTGTTTGTTGGTAGCCGCTACTATATGGTAACTATTGGACTGTGTGCATGGAATCACCGGTTCGTTTTCGCATGGGGTAGCCTGGTCGATAAGTAATAGCAAAAGCCGGCAGCTGCCGATTAGCCCTAACTACTCACCTCTCTCACTCTCGAACTCATGGATGTGATGTGAATAACTGATTAGGTGAGTAACTATTGCATCGACGGCTCCAATCAAGAGCCCCAGAAGTTGGAGAATAGCAATGATCCCAGGAGCAGGCACGTATGTGCGCAGGGAACTGTAGGCATCCTTCACGCCGTACCAACTAATGCCTAATAGCATGGCGACTATAGCTACTCAGAGCCTCCAGATGCGAGGAAAACGAGCAGTCCATGCGTTCCGTGTGCCTTATTCATAGACGTGTCAATACCTACATGCACGCGCAGCCTGCAAGCCGTTTAAGCCGTCAAATCAATCATGACTTCGATACCTATCTCATGATGGTCATCACCACGGTGCATCCCGGCACTGTCAGGACTATTTCTGCACTTGCTTCTGCCCGACAGCTTCAACGCTTTGCCTTGCGGGTGACGGGCTCAAGAGTTACGCCTTGCCACCGATACAGCAGTGCGCGATGGGCCCGAAGACTCGTGGTCATGTAGGTATTAGTCCATCTGCAGCTGGCTGATTGTCAAGCGTCTGCGCTAGATAGTAGAGCAAGTTCATGCACCCTGGTAGGTGCTTTTTGTCGTACCTTCTGTGCTCATCTTTGTGGTTCAGTGGAATCTTCGCGTAAATTGGGGGTTATTCGGATATCGGGTCGTGGGGGTAGTAGATAGTAAGAAGTATCTAGCGGGAGATGTTTTTTTGTAATATTATCTTCACAAGCCATTCCAACAGTGTTAATACTCTACCGCGGAGGATTCGGGGATGGAACGGGGGTTCGATACTATAGCTCTGCTGTGTTCTGCGCAGAACCAAGCCGGGTGTTCTAATACCTTGCAGAATCTCAGCTGGGAGGTGGCAAACCCACCATGATACCGTAATAACTCACTTAAGAGGCAATGTCTCGGTTCTTTTATCTTTTACGCCTAGCACACATATTAATTCCTGAACGGGAAGTAAAACAATACAAGTATACGATTTTCTTTCACAATACAAGTCAAGCTATTCAACGCGGGAGGCCTATTGCTAGATATGTCTAAAAATCATTACCTCTCAAGTGACATACAACGGTAGACCCAGCCGGGTGTTCGATCGGACCCGCACAGACAAATATACCGACCAGGTTAATTGTACTGAAACGGATATGTCAAGCGTGAGGCTTCCGGATCTCCTATTGTGGCAGAAGTGTCTATTTGTAGTACTTGCCATGTACCGCCGCACACACCCTCGCTTTGCGCGCTGGGTGGACCCTGGCGCACTCTGCAGATCTGATCTCTTCCCTAGCTAGCTATGACCACCACTTGAGATCTATCGCCCCCACCGGAGTTTAGAATTCCCAGCGGGTACTACATACATCATCAGTCAAGTCCTCAAGGCGCGGTGATCAAGGGACCGTCTGGTAAGTAAGTATGTATGTACTACCACCACCATCACCGCCGCCATCAGTACGGGCCTTGAAGATGCCGATCCAGACGTGAGTCAGGTCATACTTCTCCACAGATGTTACACTGTTCCCCCGGACCACTAACGGAGAGCATCTGCCATGGCCATGGCCATGATGGTCACGGCGTGCGAGCCGCCCCACCGACGAGCCCGATGTGGGCAACCGCGGGCTGCTAGATCAAACGGATATCCGCCAATATCAACAGGCTGATATAGAAGAATACTGCAGACGAATGCCGACACCAATGCGGGGCGGGGCTTGGTCACGCCGGCCTAACGGAGCCGAAGGAACCTGCGTTTCTCGGACAGGGACACATGCCGCATTCTTCATGCAGTCTGATTCTCCTCCTCCCCCCCATGATACTCCGCCCGGCCACCCCACAAAGTTGAAATATTCTACATAGCCATTCCTTGCGTAACATGTATTCGGAAGCTCCTCCCCCCTAGGCATTGCTGCCTCATGTTGCTATTCGCCGGTAGTTAAGAATTGCGAGAAAAAAACATGTCACTGGCCACGCGCCACACCCCCCATGCCAGTAAGATCGTATTCTCGCGGACCAATTCCCCTATTCTCTGGCGGAATGTAATCACTCGGTGATAGCGGCCCCGGAGGTCTCAGTAATAACCCCGGGTCCTAGCAGTAGGACGTTGTGGCTATTCTTCTACTCCGCTGCTACTATAGTCTGTATGTACTGGCAGTTGTCAGTTGCACCCCAGAGTAGATACGACTTCCGAGTCATCATGAATCCCAACAACTAGAGGTCTTAGATACTCGGTGATCTGAGACATTTTAGCCAATCGCACAAGACCACCCCTACGATCCGAAATGTGAAATGCGGGACGTATCGTGCATCGACTGGACATCTATTCTTCAACAGGTACTGGAATAGAAACCCTTTTTACCGGAGGTGTGCCATTTCTCGGCTCCCGGACTCCGCATTCTGCAGTACCACCGTTTCCGAGATGCAAAGACCAGCTGCAGCTGTGCATGATCCACCTTGGGTAGGGACTCGGAAATCCCGTCCCTACAGCTACGTACTACATCGACTCGGCTTGCAGTTCTGTATGTGTCCCACCGGACTGGCTGAGCCATATCTCATCATCAATATATGCTACCCAGTATGTAGTGGCCTGGTTGGATTCTTATAAAGACCGCCGTCCGCCTCCCCTCCACAAATTTCATCTCCATCCGCTCGGTCAAGGACCAATACACAGTCTTCAACTCTCGTTTTCATCCGATCAGAGAAATCGAGGAGATGTCTAGCCTCATCAAAACTATACTTGGGGTGACCACCGCGGTGGCTACTCTCACCCAAACAATCACCAACGGCGCGTCCCTATGGGGAACCCTTGATTGTCCAACGTTCCCCAAGTTCCTCACGAACAATCCGTTGCCCCTCGGATATCCATGGGGTAAGCCATCCCCCCGTTCCAAAACCGATGTTCCATCCCACTAACGATGGTGTGTGCAGGTGGTCTCACTGCGAACGGCTCGAATCCGTACACGCAGGCACCTCTGACCGGAGTTGTGCGAAAGTACACTTTCAACGTCGCCCGCACAACTCTGGCTCCGGACGGCGTTGACAAGGACATGATTGTCGTCAATGGCCAGTTCCCCGGCCCCGTCATCGAGGCCAACTGGGGTGATTGGATTGAAGGTTCGCAATACAAATATCCAGGAATTTCCAATCATGATTCTAATTACCGCCCTAGTAACTGTCAACAACAACCTCGAGGATGAAGGTACCTCTCTGCACTGGCACGGGCTTCTTCAGACTGCGACTCCTTGGTTTGAGTATGATTTCCCCTTCTGGCTTGGAATCAGTAGGTTCATATGCTGACGTTCGCTTGTTACACAGCGGTGTTCCCTCTGTTCAGGTATTACCAACCACTCTCAGGGTTTTATATTTGTACTAATATCTATCTAGCAATGTCCTATTGCCCCCGGCGCTTCTTTCACTTACCGTTTCCGTGCTGATCTCTATGGCTCATCTGTAAGTACCGAACGAGTTCTCATGATTGATCACCGCTGACAAGACCGGTGATAGTGGTGGCATTCGCATTACTCTGGACAATATGCTGGTGGCCTGTTGGGCCCCATGATCATCCACGGACCTAATCACCTTAAGGGTAGCGAAGACTACGACGTCGACATTGGCCCCGTCTTCCTCACGGATTGGTACCACCGCGAGTACTTTGATATCGTAAAGGATATCATGAGCACCGACATTGTCACTGTCCTAGCTGCAGGCGCCTCGCAGAACAACCTGATCAACGGCAAGATGAACTACAACTGTTCTCTAACCACCCAGGCTTGCAAGGAGAACGCCGGTATCAGCAAGTTCAGCTTCGAGACGGGAAAGAAGCACCGCCTGCGCCTCATAAACGCGGGTGCCGAGGGCCAGCAGAAGTTCTCGATCGACGGGCACAACCTGACCGTCATCGCCCACGACTTTGTCCCCGTCACGCCCTACACCGTCAACATGGTCTCGCTCGGCATCGGTCAGCGAGTCGATGTCGTCGTCACCGCCAACGGACCCGCCACTGGATCCTACTTCATGCGTTCCTCGATCCAGACCGGCTGCACGCCTTCCAACCAGCCCGACGCCTTGGCCGTGATCTACTACCCCAGCGCCGACACGACCAAGCTTCCCACCTCGACCGCGCAGACGGACACCCTCAGCGACTGCACGGAAGCGAACTACCCACTAGAAGACACCACTCCGATCTTCACGATCACGCCCGCCACCGAGCCGGAGATCACCCACGAGATCGACATCACCTTCGGCCAGAACGAGACCGGACACTGGTTGTGGATGATGAACGACGTCTCTTTCCGTGCCAACTTCAACGCGCCCGTCCTGCTGCTCGCCCACGCCGGAAACACCAGCTTCCCTGAGAACTGGAACGTCTACAACGGCGGAACCGCTAAGACTATCCGTGTCATCCTGAACAACCGCTCCGGAGTCAGGCATCCCATGCATCTGCACGGTTTGTATTCCCCTTCTGCCTCTCTCTCTCTCTCTCTTCTTACTAACCCCCGCTGTCCAGGCCACAACATGTTCGAGCTCTCGTCCGGCGACGGAGATTGGGACGGCACGGTGACCAACCCGACCAACCCGGCACGTCGCGACACGCACGTCATCCGCGGCAATGGCCACTTCGTCTTCCAGTACGACGCCGACAACCCCGGTGTCTGGCCCTTCCACTGCCACATCGCCTGGCACGTGTCCGGCGGCCTCTACGTCAACCTCATGGAGCGCCCCGACGACATCAAGGACCACATGCAGATCCCGCAGATCATGGCCCAGACCTGCCGTGACTGGGCTACTTACACCAACGGAACCGTAATCGAGCAGTAAGCTCTCCCCCTCCCCTCCCACCCTCCCTCTCAACACCGAAAACATAGTACTGACCAAAAATTCAGGATCGATTCCGGATTGTAATCGCAGCAAACAAAAAAAAACTACATACTAGTTGAATAGTAATGGATGGGATTGGTGTTTGGGATCGGATTATTGTTTAATGGATACGCATAGTATGGTGCATATTTTTGGTTATAGTTATGGTCATGGTTGTGGTTACGAGATGCATTCAGTGTTTTACGTGGGATATCGCTCTACCTACCTAGGCTACATGGGGGAAGGGGAGAGGGGAAGGGCGATTGGGGCTGTAATGTAGTCGTATTTAAGAAGTATGCATTGCCCGATTGATTGATTGATTGATTTGCGTGGCGACTTGACTTGACTCGGAGTGACATTGTGTGATGCAGTGACTGGGGTTTTTTTTGAGATGATTCTGAGGACTCTCCGAGTGATATACAGGATACGGCGTCCCTTCCTATCATAACTTTTAAGCTTGTACTTACACTCCCAAGAAGTTCCGAGGCTTCCTGGGCTGCTTTAATTGGAGGGCTCTTGTGCCAGTTCGGGCCTCGTCTCCAAAGCTACCCCCTCAATAATCTCGACCAGCTTAAGGTGAACGATTACGTTGGGCTTTCCCCGGAAAGTTTGTTAGCAACGCAACGGCCCGCGCCCTATGTGGGTACATGTATGATACATTCTACAAGTTACTACTACCTAGTAGAGGTTGGAAGATCCAAAGACGTTGAGATTCCGATTCTCTAAACTCCGAATAGGTATGGCGAGCCATGAGCGCGCGCCGCGAAAGGTGCTCGAATGCTCTTGCAAGTTGCAACACGTTCTTCCCCAACGTTAAAGCATAAAATACAACACATAACACACACTCGATAGTGTCGAAGTTCCAACTTAGAGCAGAGCAGACTGCTAGAATGCGCTCTTGCATGGACAGTGGTCGGTGGATGGGGTTTTGACCTTCGGGTTTCCTCTAAAACAAAAACATTGTCTTCCTGGCTTTCACAGCGAGCGAGGGGATGAGGTTCTTGATCCACGTATCTATGTAACCGGGGCTTATTCCGACTGAAGCTACAAAGCCAGCACTATCTTCGACCCGGTACGACTGCGTCAAACTTAATTCTAATTTCTTCCAAAGACGAGCAGGGGCCGGTCACCGGCGACGAGCGAGTGAGCACCCGTGAAACCAAGACATAACTACATACCTATGTAGGCAAGCAGACGCGTAGAGAGAGCACATCAATGTATTGTCGCATGCGGCCTTTACTAGACTATGGCAACCAAGCAGATGCGTAATAACCGATAGAAAAGAAACATACATGGATTGACGAGTGATGCCCCATGCACCTATATAAGTTGTCTAGACGGCACTACCACATCTAGCCCTCACTGAGTCACTGAGTTTCTATGGCAATTGCCAGCCCTGGGTTACTCCCTCCCCATCTCCCATCTCCCGTCTGCACCTGCAAGGCTGCAACCGCCAATGCAAGGTTTCCCTCATGTGAATACGGCGTGGGCATTATAATCCGCCATCACTAGGTTTGGACTCCGGAGTAGGAATGGTGGCAGCGAGATACCATCTGTCACTCGCAACACTGATTCGCTGCCCAACCTCTAAAAAATAAAAATGGCCTTGAGCATGCGCCTGTACGTAGCCGTGAAGACTTATCACCCCGTCCGAGGGACGGCCTAGAGGACCTCTTAGGCCTTTGGTCGTCGGGAGTCTCTAGATACCTAGGTAGTAGAGAAGCATTTCCAGAATTAGTTGCGAGGAAGGCCGCGCTATGTACCTACCTAGCTGTATTTCTCTCTCTCTCGGGCGGTACGGTATCGTCAAAAGAAGTAGGTAGACGACTATACATAGCAAAAAAACCCCAACTAAGTATGTACCAGGTTGCCTACGGACACACAGACAGGAGTCACCATTCATTCATCCGGCCGAGTGCTCGTATGTACATACGGTTTCACGGGATACCGCGATCAATCATGAATGGCAAACTTTCACCCGTAATCACATAACATGTGTATCAAAGTCTGAACTGCATGTGAGAGTTGTTTCCGATATGTTATTCTAGGTTATCCGAGTGTCCTGGACGTGGATTCAAAGCCCATGGACGATACTGAAGTGTAATGCGAGATCGGTGAGCTAATGGTTTGAAGTGAGAAGTATGATACCGGGAGGCCCCGAGAATACTCGTGGAATGGCCAACGTGCCGTACTCGTACTGCGGCACGTGCCAGCCTGCCAGGGCGACTCCGTACCAACATACATAGCCCTACCAAGCTCCAACGACGCATATGCAGTCCGAACCCATACTAGCCCTAGACGCGAAGAAGACCGAGTGAGCTTCAAAGTTCATTCCAGTCTTTTAGGGAGTCGCGGCTCATGCCTACAACCAGGCCTACGACCCAGCCCGATGGGACGTGCCATGTCTTTGTTCTTGTCTGGGGAGGCACTCCAGAACCGCATCCCATCCAGACCCCCACGCCTTTATACGTAGTATGTAGAGCAAGATAGTAGGTAGCTCCGTGGGGGCCGGCTCGGGGAATTCATGGCGTCTTGTGGGATTTGCTTTTTTGTCGGGATTCACCGGTGCATACATACGGTATTCCGGCCGTTAATACTAGTAGTCAAAGGTCCGAGCGCAGGGCAACGTGAATCGCCGTTCTGTTCTCGGGAGATGAAGTCTAAAGACCGTCCTTTTGTTTAAAATCTCCCCACGTTTATTCTCAGCAGGGAACGACACACGGGCGAGTACACGAACTATGTACCGAGCCTCGTGTCGGCTGAGAGCGGGTAGGTAACATGTACACATCCAGATGTACGGTAGAGTACCGGCCGTTGTGTCAATCGGTGCAGAACGCCTACGGTGTTCTACTCGCGGTACGAACCGGAACACCTCGCCTCGTCCGCCCTTTTGAGGACAATACCAGAGCAGCGCAAAAAACGCAAAGCCCCCCGTGGAACTCGATCGATGCAATGTACATTCCCGACGGCGAGAAGGAATAGGATAAATACTTTCTCTACATAACTTTGGCATAACTTACGGTCTTCTAACCGCGACTCTGCGCGATTTAAGCGTATGTATTGTACGTAAGTACACACAACCTGCTGTCGTTGTAGAGCGTTTGAGCTTATGCCGGTTTCAGTGACAGTGTCAGGAACGCCGATGTTGGCTGTTGGTGTTGGGCTGGGTATAGGAAATCCTTTGTTTACATACGGTTTCCGGTCCGTCGTCGTCGTTGTCAATCGGGATCGCCAGACCCCGCAACCGTGGGTAGGTTTTGCCAAGAAACTGTCGATGCAGCCCACCAGGCCGACGTGAAGCAGAGAACCAGACAGCAAAGATGCAACTAATCAAAGCCGCCACAGTACCGGACCTTGCCGAACCAGACCACGACCACGACCACACACCCCACCCCCATGCTTATTTTTTACTCAGGCCATGGTCGCGATGATAACAGCACATGCGAAGTTGTTCCACGGCAGCCTATCGATATTAAAACCAGCCCCGCCCACATCGGGAATCCGGTGGCTTTGGAAACCACCCCCCAGCCCATTGGGCGTAGCCGACAACAATAGCCATCATCTACCGGCGGGAGCTTGCCTTGGAAGTTGGGCACCCAAAAAGACAGACTGTGTGCCGTGAGCGGCAAGTTTTGAATGATCTTGATCGGTCTTATCACCCAGGCCGTAAGAGATGCAGGGGATGGAGCTGATCAAGGGGAACTTCAGCCGCGAATGCCTGGTTCACCGTTCATGCGTTCTGCAATCGATGAGGCCGACGAGGATGCGCGACGGAGTACATACGGGCGCAGTCGGTCTTCACGGCGAGAGGTTTGTGGTACTCTTGCCAGCCGCAGAATTATGGGGCGATGCTCCTCTGTATCTGTCTCTGTGAACTCTGCAGAGTTGGGTGTCTCGGCTGTCCAATGTCTATCCATCATGTAAGCGCTGCAACTCCCGCTCAGCCCCGTCCATGTCGTTGTTACGTTGTTGCGCGAAACGATGGGGATGGCCTGGGCAACCCCGCTCTTGGCCTGTTTGCGTGCGCGGGTTAGGCTTGGCCGGCCATTGGGCAAGCGGTCGATCACGGCCACTCCAAACTGCACGCCGGAATATGACGGCGATGAAAGGACAGGAAAGCACCGGCGGGTGTCTGCCCACCTGGAACAGTGGACACATAAATGTGGCGGCATCGCTTGGGAACAAAGGATCCATCTCTCGCACGCGACACCTCTGCACACGAGTCCATCCCATCCATCGACATCGGCCATCTCTCGGGCGCCTTCGTGCCATATGTAGGCAGGTAGTGTGTTCATCGGACGGCAACATACCTGCGACAGGGATCACCTACATACATCATCATCTTCACGAACGGCGGCGTCTCAGCCGTTGAGAGTGCACCTTAACATAGCTACCCCGTTCGCCTTCTAGTTTCGGGCGACCTTATCACCACGCCTCTTGCGCAAACAGCTAGTCGGTATTTCCCCCCAACCCCAACCCCCATCTGCTGCGCTTTGCAGGCAGGTCCAGAACATCGCAGAGAGCTAAACGGAATCGCTAATAAGGAACCCACTTGATCGCCGCCTGCTCGCCGAAGGCTAAAGGTGATCACGCTTAAATACAAAAACGAAGCTCCCTCCACCACATGTCCGGCCTCTGCGACGACGACGAGCCAGCTGCTACACTGGTGCCTCCGAACGATGTCAGTCCCGCGGGGACTGTTGGCTTCCTACTACGACGCTCCGGACCGCCGCACCATCGACGATGACCGCCCGACGCTGCTGGTGACTTGGTGGTGCACTGGCTGCTGTATTGCGCTCATTGGCATGCGCTTGCTGGGCCGCTATATTCGCGTTGCGAAGCTGTTCCGAGACGACAAGTTTATGGCCCTCTCGATCCTGCCGTTGTTGGGGCATCAGGCGCTTGTGCACATGGTACTTCTCTACGGAACGAACAACACGACCGGTACCGAGGCAATGGGAAAGGAGGAGTTACGGCGGAGAAGAATCGGCAGTGGAATGGTTTTGGGCGCGAGAGTGATGTACGCCGCATTGTAAGTCACATGTTGGCAATCCTCGTTTGTGCGGTGACGTTTGGAGCCCGGGATTCAAACTGACCTGACAGGTAGTCTCTGGTCGCAGAAGTTTTGCATCACTGAGTTCTATGTGAGACTGACGGAACACTTTTGGGAGAAGGGCTATGAATTGGGACTGAGGATCATGAGGTGGAGTCTCTTGGTCACCTTCCTTGCCGCTACTATATCCGTCTTTGGAGAGTGCCGGCCCGGTCACAAGTCAGTTGCTGTCCCTTTCGCGTGTGAACTTCTCACCTGGGATTGAATCTAACTTGTCGTCTTATTAGGTTATGTGAGTTACATACCCTCGATGTGTCTCTCGTTCATAGTGGCACGGGAGATCTCCTTAATCCATCCACTAACGTAATGTAGGGCAGGTGCATCCATCTCCCGGCCCGCAATGTCGTTCCGGTTTTGCACCTCTCATCACGATCTCGACATTCAGCATAGTGACGGACCTATTCCTCGTGCTCTACCCGATCCCGATGATAATCCGCTCATCGTTCACAACGCTCAAGAAGCTCCGGCTCATCCTGACAGTGTTCAGCCTGTCCCTCCTCTGCGTCGCCTTCGCCAGCTACCGAGTACCGGCCGTAATCCGCACGCACGGCTCGCAGCAACTACGCTCGCTCCTCGCCGCCTTCGAGATCCTCGTCTCCACCATCGTCAGCAACGCAATCATCATCAACTCATTCGCGCGGGGGAAGGGGGAAAAGAAGCGCAAATTCTCTGGGGCGAGCGGGGTTGACGACGCTGAGGCGGGCCAAGTGAGGATGGCGTATTGGGGCAGCGACGACGATATTGCGCGATATCTGGGCGTCGGAAGGGTTCCCGGGGTCGCCCCGGTGCAGAAGGGCTACGGCTTTACGAGACGGTCCGAAGAGGCGCCGAGAAGCGATGAGCGCTTGCAGCCGAGAGCGGTGTTGCATGGCGCGGCGGTATCGGCCGAGATGGAGGAGCAGCAGCAGGCGAAGGTGGATTCCTGCGAGCTGATGGATTTTGGTAAAGACACGACGACGATAACACCACCACCGCCGCCGCCGTCGCCAGATGATGGGAAGGAACACCCGGTGCTGTGCGATGCTGGCGGGCTACTAACTCTCGCACGGGTCGACGAGAATGAATCTACCACTGAATACTCTGACGATGACGACTACGATCTCCGGCCGCGGACTTCGGTGTCTTCGTCGTCGGTGGGACTGAAAGATACCATTGCGGAAAGGGATCGCGAGGTGCGGCGCTGATTTTGATTTTGATTTAAGCACATGTACGCTACATACATACATACCAGGCACTTTGGATTTGGGATTTTGGAGTCTGGGATTGGCGTTTGGGGCATACATTGTATTCGGGTTGTTGGAACTTGGGGGTTTTAAATGTTGATCTGCGGCGAGGCGAGGTACGTTGGAGTATTGTATTTTTTTGCGCGTGGGCGTTGGGTATATTTATATGTACAATGCTGATAATTGATATTGAGAGACTGAATCTGTCGACAACATGGAGGATTAACGAAGATTCTTGCAAGGATGGAAGGCTTTCTGAAGATAATCACGATGGTTAATCGCAACTTCAACGGCAGACCGCAACTTGGCGTTCGTCACAAGCCTGCGACCTATCCATGCTACCACTAGCGCTTTCACGTGTTCATATTCACACGGTAGTGTAGAGTACATTTGATTGATTGATTGTTCATACAGCATGGAACCCTAAGGTTATGGCCGATAGAGATATCTACAATACAACATTTCGACAAAGAAATTCCACCACCGAATCCATACAGAAATGACAAGCCGAATCCCTTCGCCTCGCAATATTTGAAAGTGAGCCTCTGAAGAGGTTCGGGTTGTCAGTTTTGCGCTGTAGCGGCGCGTCGTAGCCCTCCTCTTCTCCTAAAGGTACCTCCACTCGGTACTACCCTCAACATAACCAGTCTAGCGCACACGGCATGGTGCTCGAAAGGAATTGTCGTCTCGGGGTTTGCGTAGCTGTCAAGGCCGGGGCCCGAGAATAGCAGCGAAGATATTTGGATCGAAGGCGGGATTGGCAAAATGCCGGTTGTCATGGTCGACGTTGTCCTGAGCCAAGCCCTGAGCTCTCCCCCTGGAGTTCACTCTCCTCCCCGCCGTCGCCATATCGCCTGCTAAACAGGCCACCTATGGCGGGCGTATTCAGGACCTGATTAGGTGCAGGGCGCGGACACACACCCTGGACCAAACCAGGTCTCAATCAGCAACGCCGCGCCCCGCTGACATGTTACTGCGCTGTAATGATAGGTAATGCAGAGTACTGACCAGTACCACTGGCTTTCTGCTGTTAGATAGCCGTACTTTCTGGTACCGGACCCACAGTAGGGGCGGCCAGGGCGGGCAGGAAGCTGGGGATCATATAGGTCTGCAACCGTCAGTAATGCTCAGTAATGGTCAGTACCGAGCAGTACCGCTATCGCCGCACCGCCGCCGGATGTAGTACTGACGAGTACTAGCTGCGGCCATGGCGGGCAGGAAGCTGGGGATGATGTAGGTCTGCAATCTTCAGTAATGCCCAGGAATTATCAGTACTGGTAGGCACAGAGCGGTACCGCTATCGCTGCATTGCTGGGCGCAGAATTGACGACAGCTGCCTACGGCCACGGCGGGCAGGATCCTTTGGGCAGTACAGCTCAGGAATCGTCATTACTGCACGGTACTGAGTGGTACTGCGAATACTGTCTGATTGCGGATCGCACATGTGGTTACAGCTTCTCATCCTGGACAATGGCTCGTAGCGGGGTTATGCTCTGATAGTAGCACTTCCATACACATGGTCTTCATTTTACATGTGCGGTGGTGTTCACAGCAATATCCTAATCTGGTCGGTATTTGCCATTAATAGAACTTCATCGTATATGGCAAATAGGTGATTTACTGGCCGACAACACAAACTCCGATACTAAACCTGCGCGAGGGCCTCAAGACTTTCATATTAGCTGTGGGAACGCTAAAACTATCATCCAACAACTTTTGAGACGTATCCCACCAGGGCTGAAGGTGTCAGATCAATTCAGCTCTCCACAATGATAGAGAGTATCTGGTGGGCGCTGTCAAGTACTTTCCGATACCGATGTGTACCAGTCTGCACTGGATCTGTCAACATAAAAAATCGGTTGAGAAATGATGATCCTTTCGAGGGCCGGGTACCTTGTAATGCTGCCCTCGAAATACTGAGTAGTCTCGCCTGGAGACGGGAAACAGCATTCATTCTCAGCGCTAGACATGGAAAGCTGCTTGCAGCCATCCCGTTCTTGCCAAATGCAGCACCCGTCATGAATGGCGGGATATTTCATTCCCGGACGATGTTGACATAGCTGAAGAATCTTCAATAGTGGTGATGTATGCTAATATATAGTCACAGGTGCTACTACTACAGGCCAGTATGGTTGAAGGCACGTTGGCGGCAGTAAGACTGCTTAATGCCAAGCGGTACTGAGCCCACACTACGCCAAATCATGGCATGAGCTCATTCCAGGGCGCCGCCAGAGGACACTTCCTGTATGTAAGGGTTCGGTGGCACATCAGTCGTCTGTTGCAGTACTGCTAGGTACCGGCAGGTACTGAAGACTACACTGCGCTGCCATTAGAGTACAACCTGACTTCAGGACAATGTCTGAAGCCAGATCCTATACCCACCAGTATTGTGTCCGACGATACGGCGATAGCGGTAACAGTCAGTACCCAGCAGTATTGACGGTTGCGGGTTATACCACCCCCAGCTCAATGCCCGCGCCGGCCGCATGGCGTACTCGCCAGTACTGCTCCCGCTGATACGGCGATAGCGGTACCGCTCGGTACCGACCAGTACTGACAATTACGAACCTATACCGCCCCCCGTATCATAGCCGTCCGGCCGCCTGCAGTACTAGTCAGTACTGCTCCCGGCGATGCGGTGATAGCGGTACCTCCTAGTACTGCTTGGTAATGATCATTGCTGATGATTGCAGACCTATATCGTCCGCAGCTTCCTGCCCGCCCTGGCCACAACCAGTACCTGTCACTACTGCACCTGGCGGAGCGGTGATAGCAGTACTCCTCGGTACCGCTGAGTACTGAGCATTACTGACGATTGCAGACCTGTATCATCCCCAGCTTCCTGCCCGCCCTGGCCGCCCTGGCCGCCGCTACTGTGTGTCCGGTACCAGACAGTACAGCTGTCCAACAGCAGAAAGCCAGTGGTACCGGTCAGTACTCTGCATTACCTTTCAGTACTGCGCAGTAAAATGTGAGCGGGGCGCGGCGTTGCTGATTAAGACCTGATTAGGTGAAGGCGCGGACACGCACCCTGGACCAAACCAGGTCTTGAATATGCCTGCCATTGGTGAAACAGGCTCTCCTAGAGTGATAAAATCGATGATGATGTGCAGGGAAGCGATGGTGAGACTTCTTCAGAGGTTCGGACGTAGCACCCGTGGTGGTGCAATTTTCCGGCCAGGGACCGAGGCTCGATTGATCTCTATCGCTTCATGCTCATCGTCGTCGAATTCGTCGGTCGGGGCACTCAATCCGTGGTCGAAAAGAGTGGACATACACACCACATGAATCCTGAAGCCAAAGTGAGCGGGGCATTTGGTGTGCCAAAGCATAATCTTGGCATTTTTGGAAGGTTGGTGTGGTTGTCGGAGGTGTGTTGGTGTAGAGTACAGTGAAGAGCTGATGTTGTGAAGCCAATTAACCTGATAGTGAACTCCACCATGACTAGGACCCCCACAGAGGCCAATCGCACGTTTCAAATACAGCCCAGGGTCAGGTCAATTCCAGGTCGTCCAAAAAGATTGTGCAGTTTAGCGCCAGTTGCGGGCATACATAGGACCGGCGCCGCATCCATGAGAATTCCTAAGTCCTGACTGTAGGCAGTATTTTCTGCTTCTGCTGCGTCTTCCACGGTAGGCAGATGCACTCACGTGCCTTCGCGATGCACAGACTACCGCCTCGGGAACTTCCGTTGCACGAGTGCGATATCATGATAATCACGTGCACGAGTTGCCAGTGATGACGTAGAGTGGGTAGCTGGAAGTATGTATTGGAGAAACTCTACCAGCAATAAGCATAGACATTATCAACCGCGGGCCTGCGGCAGTATAATCTCCCGAGAGCAAGAAGGCTCCAATTGTGGTGCACTCTGCACGGAAGAGCTGGTTGATGGAAGGGCGTTCCACTCGTTGGCACCGTTGCTGGAAGCGGGAAAGTGCGGCAACGCGAGGCTACTCTAGGTGCTCTCTGGGACACTCTAGACTGCTGGGCTTGAGGATACTGTCGTCTATCTGGACCTGCCAAGCGCGAGCTCCGGGCCTCAGAGCGGATCCCAGATTCTGGTCAGGTAATCCCGTCTGTGTCTCTTGCGGGCTGTAGCCTCAAAAACAGGAAGACATCCCGATACCTTGACCGTTCAGAAAATTGATCTGACAAGCAATGATCAATCCGAGATTTCCCCATCATGTGTGGGATGGAGAGTGGTTTAATGCAAGCAATTCGTACCGAAACGGCTGTTCCCGCGTTCTAGTCAAACTCAAAATCTGGAGCATCGGCAAACAGAACTAGAGACCCAAGCTACCCAAGTTATCTAGGCTCCTCTCGAAGAGAACTGTTGCTAGAAAATCGGAGGAGAAGGAAACGAGGCCCTAATTCGGCGTGCAAGACTATGTTTTCCGCCAATGCACGTGCTGCGAGGTGATACGGCCCTTCGGAAGTTGCAGCCCAATCCATCAAGCTTCGAAGCGGAAAAGCAGATAGTGCTGTGGACGGCACCTTCCGGCACCGTGCTTGCCTGACGGACTGATCCCATCGGCAGTAACTCTAGATTCCTACCATCGAAGACCATACATCACTACCACCTAAGTGGTCGACAGCATATGTGGATTGAGCATAGATCTATACTCCACGAGCACTGGCCAGATTCTGAATGTGCTGCGTGTGTGCAGAGTCCTACGAAGCAGCAGTAACCCTACTGCTTGGGGACCGTCCGCAAAATCATGAGGACGATCCGAAGGACTTAGGAAAACCCGGCGATAATATGGAGAGCTGGAAGTCTTTATAACCCCCACCAATCCGCCCCCAATCTCATCCAACATCAACACATTCACTCTTCTCCTCTCATCACCTCTACAACTTTCTTTCACTTCTTACTTCAAAAGTTTTCAAAAGTTTCATACGTTTGTGTTCCCTACTCCTTCTCTCAGCATCTTCAGCCGCTAACATCTCCACAGTTTAGATACCATTTAGACAATATGCAGATGCAGATTTGCCACTCTCTCGTCCTCGCCGTCGTCGCCCTTGGCGGTCTGGCTCAGGCTGCGCCTGCTGGCGGCATCTACGCTGGTGCCGATTGCGCCCCCGCAGTCTTGCCCGTCGCTTGCGATGCTGGCGACAACATCACCGCTTCCACCGTCGTTGACACCACTGGTTGCGCCTGCCCCGTCGGTGCCTGCGGCTGTCCTGCCCGCACCGACGTCGTCGAGCCCACCGTCACCCAGGTCGCTCCCGCCATCGTCAACCAGTCTGAGGATGTCCAGCCCGTCGACATCATCCAGCCTTACCAGGACGTCGTCCAGCCCGTCGTCGACACCCACATCCGCCCCGTTCACTCCGAGGTCGTCAACTCTCCCATCGTCCAGACCACCACCGAGCCTTGCTGCTCTGCTCCTGGGGCTTGCGGCTGCGGTACCGTCGCCGGTTACGGCACTTACGCCAAGCGTCAGTGCGGATGTGCCGCTCCCATCTGCGGATGTGCCGCCCCCGTTGTTCAGGCCACCGCCTGCGACTGCCCTACCAGCCCCTGCGGCTGTCCTACCCGCGTCGATGTCGTCGAGCCCACCGTCACCCAGGTCGCTCCCGCCATCGTCAACCAGTCTGAGGATGTCCAGCCCGTCGACATCATCCAGCCTTACCAGGACGTCGTCCAGCCCGTCGTCGACACCCACATCCGCCCCGTTCACTCCGAGGTCGTCAACTCTCCCATCGTCCAGACCACCACCGAGCCTTGCTGCTCTGCTCCTGGAGCTTGCGGCTGCGGTACCGTCGCTGGTCCCGTCGCCGGCTACGCCGCCGGATACGGCACTTACGCCAAGCGGCAATGCGGATGCGGCGCTTCTAACTGCGCATGCCCCGCCCCAGTCAAGGTCGTTGAGGTCGCCGCCCCTGTCGACCGTTGTGGCTGCAACGACGCCATCTGCTCTTGCGAGCAGGTTGACCCGTGCCCCTGCCGGGAGACCGTCTGCACCTGCGAGGAGGTCGTTTCCTGCGATGACCGCATTGGCGGTGCCGACCGTTTCTCGTACGGATCCTACGGTGGCGTTGGTGCCGACCGTCTCTCGTACGGATCCTATGGTGGCATTGGTGCCGACCGTCTCTCGTACGGCTCCTACCCGACCGTTGTCGGCCCGACCACCGTCTCTACCTGCCCGTGCGACGATGTCTGCACCTGCCAGGAGATCGTCTCTTGCGGCTGCGTAGACGACTGCAGCTGCGACTCGGTGATCGCGCCGGTCACCACCGTCGTCGCCGCGCCCGCCTGCGGCTGCGACGCCTACAAGGCCAAGCGCCAGTGCGACTGCGGCTGCCCCACCCGCGCCAACACCGTGCAGCCCACCGTCGTCGAGGTCGCCCAGCCCATCGTCCACAACTCGCAGGACGTCCAGCCCGTGCAGGTCATCCAGCCCTACCAGGAGGTCGTCCAGCCCATTGTCGACGAGCACATCCAGCCCGTCCACTCCGAGGTCGTCAACTCGCCCATCGTCCAGACTACCTGCGAGCCCTGCGCTAACGCTGGCAACGGCAACGGTTACAACGGCGTCAACGCTGTCAACGGCAACGGCTTCATCGCCGCTGACAACGGCTTCGTCGCCGCTGACAACAACGGCTACAACGGCGACAACAACGGCGAGGTCATCGTCGACACCGACATCCAGGCCGCCGGCGACTGCGTCTGCCGCAAGTAGAGCGGATCTGTGGGATATTACTTAGGGGGGATGATTAGAAGATAGATATGGAGTGGCTTGTGATTTTCTTGTATTTGATTATTTTTTTCCACAGAGACTTGCATACGATGTATGTTATCGTGTCTCTAGATACTCGTCTATAGAATTTGGTTCGGTTTTTGGCTTTTTAGGAAGTAACTAGAGAGAAGGGGCTGAATTCAGACAAGAACAGGATTTGTTCTATTTTCAACATGGCCTTTCTTCGTAATTTCAACATTGATCTCAGCCTTTCGGTTCTCGATTTCCCCACTACCGATAATGGCTAATGGGCGTTCACTGATAATTCACAGTCTTCGAGACTTTGTTTTCTCTATTAGAATCTTGGGAAGATTGATCAGCCACTTGAAGGTAGTAGCATCTCCGGGAGAAGTTACAAACAGTATTCCCAAATTGTAGCAGTTCTACTTCGGTCTAACTAGTGAGAATACTTGTACCAAAATCTAGGATCGAGCACGCGCTGAGGTTTCCGACTGGGAACTCAGGGAGAGGGTGGAGAGACCGGCAGGAACGCAGGAAGCGAGGGGAAGAGGAGGAGGAGGGCGCTTAGGATGGCTGTTCCTCCTACACCCTCCGTCATGCTAGCATCTCCTGGAGAAGAGGCAAGGGTCAAGGCGGAGTGCGGAGCGGAGGGTATGAGAAGCCACATCGGACAGCTTGGTGAAGTCGGGCGGGTGGGTGTAGTGGAAACGGAGTGTGTATTGCCATGATCTAGATAAGTCGCATGTAATCAGTGAATAGACCAAAAAAATGTGACGTTCAAGTTCCGATCTTGATTCGGTATCTCTCAAAAGTGCCATATCCAGCAGTTTCTACGCGTTTCTTTGCAGATCTGATTGTTAAAATAGAAGGGTCGATGTTGATTGCAACTAGGTATTAGGGCTAATGCCTTCGAACTAGTGGTTCACAGAATCTCACACGAGGTGGGTCGTGCGTCGATTCAACTATAAATTGCTTTCACTTCAACCCCCACTTCCACCACAACCATCCTTCACACTTCACATCTAAGCCCACGAGCTCAGCTCCATAATCCGCAACACCATTAATCGTCTACAATGTAAGTCCTCGCTCTCGATCCCGCATATTCTCTCGTCCTCCCTCTCTCCGAGTCTCAAACCTATTTCTAACATCCCGCAGAGACCTCCATCACCATTGCACATCACAATGTCCTTACACCCGCTTGCCCCGGGCCCCGGCCCGGAGCCAACCTCTGAGTTCAACCCACGGGCTAACCACCAAAATCCGCAACACCATCAAACTTCCACAATGTAATCCCTCCCTCTCTCCGAATCTCTCTGAATATTTTCGAGTCGTAAACCTGTTTCTAACACCCCTAGAGACCTCCAGTACTCTTACACATCACGATGTCGCTACACCCGCTATCCTTGCGGCATATCACATCCTCGGACGGGCAATAAGCCAGCCAGCCGGCCAGCAGGCCAATACCGCTGGCCTGCTCCCGGCAGAAACTTTTCGATGACCTGATCAACTATCCTCCGGGCCCCGGCCCGGAACCAATTACCTTTTGGCCCTCAGCAGTACACAGATGGTCGAGAGCCCTACCATGTCCTTGAGAACAGAGAGAGGGCGGAAGATGCACGATTCCAGGTTCCGAATGCGTTCGGGAAGCGGAGGAGAGTGCGGTTAAGCCGCGGTGCTGGTGGCCGCAGAGTGCCTGAAGAGCTGGCAGAGGTGGTCGATAGACTGTGGATTGAAATGCACCGCTACGACCACCTCTACCACGAGTTCGAATTTCGAGTCCGAGCACAATGGAAGAAAGCGGCCGAATGCGTGGAAGTCACCATACGGTCTGCTTGGGGAATGGACAACCGAAACGGAAGCCAGTCAACGCCATGCATATCGATAAGTCCACGACACCGAAGGACGTCATGAATGCGGTCCAGCACCACTTCGGAGAATCGACTGGATACCTGGCCGCATACAGAGCGCTGAGCTCCCTGAACAACGGCGATATCGAGACAGAGAGGAAGCAGTTTACACAACTACCAATGTATATGGAAGCGATGAAGAAGCTTGATCCTGATCGGCTTTACTCGCTCTCCATAAACGTTGAGACTAAGGAATTCTAACGGCTATTCATTTGCCCATCTAGCAGCGTTTCACGTTACAAACATGCCATCAAGATGGTAGCGTTGGATCGATCCTGATCGGCTTGACTACTCGCTCTCCCTCAACGCAGGGACTAAGGAGCTTGAAGGCAGCCGCATAGGTGGAAATAAAATATGTTTTGTTGTGGTGGAGAATTACCCTCCGTCAAACTAACGGTGAGATTTTGTGTGGGGTCCATCGACTCCACCGTGGATAGAGGGGTCCATAGGGGATAAAAGCCGTGCAAAAATTGAGCAGATTCTGGCTGCCCTTTGTGAGGAGGAGGATCTGGTGTAGTGGTAGCGATAGTCTATACCAAATCTGAGTTGCTTCAAATTACCGTTCCGCACGGCGTACTGAACTTTTGTGCCAAATCAACATTTCGTAGCCAGTCGTATCCCGACGTTTGCAGACATCGGGCCCGCCCTTGGTTGCTCGGTCTGGATATAGTTATCCCGACCAATCCCGACCGTACCCAGAATTGTTCTAGACTAGTCTATGCAGAACACTAGGCCGATCAGTTCCCCCATATTTGATCTCCTGAGAACCGGAAGATCTCTTCGGTATGTGTAGTCCCGCAACTCTATCTCGCAGGAAGGAAGTATATATAGCTCATCCCTCCAGAGTCCAGCTCCACCGGCCGAGCCTGCAAGCTTAACTTAGATACATGAGAGGCAGGTAGGTTGATCCGCAGCGATGCAATCGCTGGTACATGCATCATAGGTACATAACCTTCTGCATGCCCGCCCCACAGTGTTTACGATAAACAATAAAAAAGAGCGAGATCTTGTTACCAAGGACGAAACATCTCTTGCAGAATATACATATTACAGGCTCCGACCGACCGGCATCCCGAAATAAAGGCACCAGCCTGAGGCCTCCAGGAACCTGGCTTGTGCATTGTGTTGTGGCATGGATCCGGCCCGGAAACAATCCCGAACGTTGGAACTTGGAGCTTGGGCGAGAGTCTACAGCTACGGTACATATCTGCAGTGCAGTGCACTCAACTACCTGGTTGCCACAAAACGAACTCACGCAAATAGATAAACCGGTATCAATATCGGTACAGAAGTCAATGGAAAAGTCTACGCAAATGCCGGAAAAGGTGTTTTCCGACGATTCCCTGGCTCGGAGGTTCCACTTCGACTTCAACTTCGGAAACAAAGACTAAAGATCACACCGACGCATCCGAGACAGGACTACGCATTCGGCGATCTGACATCCCCTGCACGGTCTCGGGACCCTGGCTCGCCCGATGATATCTACCACAGAAACTCAACTTTGACTCCTCCACTTGGAAGCCCGAACGAAGGCTGAGGGGATGGTTCTACGAAATGAGGGAGACAATCCGGGCGTGCAGAAGGATTATTACATCACAGATTTGCAACTCTTAACTAATGCCTCCAGATGGAAATTATCTTTTTTTTTGTTATCCATTCCACTCGGCCTTGGTGGATCATGGCAGCCACACAACGGTTCCTCCCCACTGTCCGTTCACGCAATAGGCGGGAGCACGATGTGGTTTCCTTTCGCCCTCCGCCTTGGCCTGCCCCGATAATCTCAGAGCACGCTTAGGTAAGTTGCCTACATGAAGCAGACGCAGAAGCAAAACAACGAGTTGCATGAGGCAGAAGCAGACGAAACCGGTAAGTTACATAAAGCGCATAGTAATCAAACGAATCGGCCCGTATCAAACAAGCCGAAGACCGCCGGGGGGGCCGGATGAGGACCCCGCAGGATCCCTCGCCCGAACCCCCGCCCCCGCACAGCTGCAGTTGGTTGCTGATTTTTTTCACACATGCGGGTGACGAGTGGTGATTTCACACTGACAATCCCTACACAAAAGTGCTGCCGACTGAAAACTTGCCCTCGGTATGTAGCCAAGAGATCGTGCAGAAGACCTCCGTGGCGGCCCAGGCTCCCGCCCTGTAATCTATGTATTAGATCTACTTTACGCGGTCGTCGAAGATCACGCAGCTTCTGATACTACCGTACCACCTTTCTGACATCGCCCGTGACCGCCTTCAGGACGCACCGCAGAGTCTAGAAGGTCCACCTTACCTCGGCATATTATCACCGAACGATTTAATCAGGACGCAGTATACGCAAAGTTTTGTCACATTTGCGAGGAGAAGGGCGAACAAACAACAGCTAAGCCTCGCTGTGCGCGTCACGGAAAACGGTGCCTCAGATTCCGGAGGTCGGTCGAACGTTCTTTTTCTCGCGGGGGGCGGATGGTTGTCTCCGTAGCCATAGTTATTCCATTTGTGTACCCATACCCATCCCATACTTGCTCCGCGTGAGCATGCCACGGGGACAGCAATGTGCCGGAACACCTGTCCCCCGGCACTCACTCCCTTCCTCAGTTCATGAAGAACATCCGTCATTCATACGCGGCAGGACATAGCTGAACGGAACGGAGAAATTCGAAAGGCGAGACGACGGGGTTATAAGCGGGCCCAATCTCGTCCGGACCACTACAGCGACGACCGGCTAGAGTAACTGCTACAGCGTCATTACTCTTCCGCGTCGTCATCCTGCTCTCTGGACCACTCGATGGGAAGGGTCGCCCTATGCCTGAAACACGGGTGTTTTACATCCATGGTGGCCCACCCCTGCAGATGTCTGACATTCAGCACGTCAATCCCGTCTTGGCTCACATAACCATCGCTCTTCTCGCTACAAACAACACCCAAGCAACCCAACATCAATATATGTGACATAGCTATGTACCCCGCTCGCACTGTGGCCTTTGCTCCATTTCCGGCTCATATCAGTTAATTGGTCTTCTCTCTCTGAGTTTTGCCGATGTCGCCGCCGCCCGGACCCGAGTACTGTTGGCTGCGGTTGCGATTTATTCGATCTGCTCGGATGATTGGGTATCAGGGAATCAGCCGTTTCATCCTGGCAAGGCTTCCTCACATGGAGACCACCAGTCGAAATTGTGGGCACAGAATCCAAAACCTGTAGATAGCCGACCACCACCCCCCTTTCTCCCTTCATTCCTTCTCCCTTCACTTCCCTCTCAGCTCCATCACAGCCTTCTCGCCCCGGAGGCCCCCACATGATACTTTCACTACGTTGACCGTCCCCTCAGCTGGCCCTTGGCGGCACTTCTTGCTACTAGGAGACCTTATAGACGATTACTTTCCAATATCACCATCACACAGACTGGATCTGCACTTGTCCTGCCTACGCAGCCTTGTACACGGAATACGGCGTTCGCTTCCGAGCTGAAGCACCAGCTCCTCAGTGGCCCTTGCCCCTTCAACCGATATATCCACCCACGGGCCCCCACCGATCCAAGTCGAACTTCTCTACCTGTTCCATCCCTCTCACCTCGAACGAAACTTTGCGAGGAACTCACAGCCAGCTGTACCTCACGATGTCTTCGACATACAGCCAGTCGGGTCGGAATACGCCCGTCGAACAGCGGATATACACATTGTCAAGTGTCAACTCGGAGGAGACGATAAACACGACTGCCGTCATTCCCACCCTCAACCCAGCCATCCCCAGGATCCGGATCCTTTTGGCCCCTTATATGGTAGGAAACCCTTTCTTCGAGTCTTTCCATCGTTACTGACTCTTTCCAGTCCCCATATGTGGTTCCAGCACACAAGGTCAAAACTTGGGAGGTAAGCATCGATCTGATTCCCCTTTGGCATGAAACCCAACTGACCCTGCCACCTCAGAACCTCCACCGAACCCTAGCAGGGCTTTTTGGCACGGACGTATTCAACGGCAGGCCGGTGAGGATAACTGATATCCGGGGCAACACTATTCTCCCAGGCGTTTGGAAAGATCTCGTGGAGCCAAACATGACGATCATCGTCGACACATGCGCCTATATACCAGAGAGCTCCGAGGTTATGTTTGGGTCCCCGGAGGCGGAGAATACACCCGTGTCTTGGGACAGTCCTCACATGGAGAGGCCTGTCTCTCAACGTCACGAGTATGACGATCATCACGATGACTCCGGTAACATTGAAAGTGCTACTGCTTTTATTCTCGAAGAACATGACGATGAGAATGCTTCGTATGATGAGGCACATATTGTGTCGCCGCTTGGCCAGGTCGGGGATCTTGCATCGACGGCACCGGTGCCGAAGTCGTGGAAAACCCGACCGCCGCCGCCGCCACAACACCGACACGAGCAACATGGAAGGTCCACGAGCATTTTTGATAAGCGCGCCACCTCCATCAGCATGTTCGTGGGAAGACGGGCGGTTGGCGACAAGATTGATCACAACATTACAGTCAAACCCCTGGTTATAGAGAAGAAATCGAGCAAAGCAGAGCTACGTTCGACCAGGGCTGAAGAAGCAAGGCGGCAAGAGAATATCAACGTGGCTGCGAATCGGCGGGAGAACGAGCTCCGGGGACAGTGTGTTGATCGTCGCGCGGAGGTATCCCATGGGGAAATGGGTCGGTATCGCGAGGAGGACGATAGAGTGGAGTATAGGTACGGAAAGACGGAGAAGAAGGTAAAAAAGTCGGGATGGTCGAGGGTGGCCAGGGCTCTGATGTTTATTCTTACTGCTGGTCACGCACATCATCACCATCAAGACGTGAATGCAAAACGGAACCACGAAGAGTTCAGAACGAATGAGTACGGGCAACATGGACGCTGGCACACGGTATCGCCACGGGCATCACAAGCGCCTCCTATGCGACGTGCTGCATCTGCACGACCCTTGCAGAATCGCAAAGGTATCACGCCGCCAGCACCCCTCACCTCGGGGCGTGTAGACGCCAAATACCACCGTCGCTCAAGGTCTTTGGGGGCTTTTCCGGCTATGAATAGTCCTGTGCGACCGCCCGATCGGACTCACTCTACGAGGCGGCAACCCAACAAGCTCCAGCGGTCGACATCGGAAAGGAAGGTCCCGGGCTACCAGAAGCCGTTGTCTCGAAGCGCATCCTTGAATCAACACCACCAGTGCGTCATTTCACCGCCAATTCCTCGAAGACCCAGCGGCGACTTGGGATTAAACGCACAATACGTCTTGGCAGATGATCTCGATATCGATGAGTTGAGAGAAATGGTCCAGGACCAGCTGGACGGCAGTACTTTGGGGGGAAGGAGTCGAAGAGGGACTGGGAGCACCGGGAGAACCGCCGTTGATTCGACTATCGAGGTGAGCATATGCGATTCCATTCCCATTCTTTCGGCGGTTCTAACGATTTCACAAGCCTCCGCAAAGAGTTATCCCGAAGCTTAGTGCTTTCCCGCCCAGAAGTCCTCCCCGCTCGCCGGTGAAGAGACCAGAAATGCATCCTCTACCGGAAGCGGACCGCCGGCCGCCAACAGCCACACCCCTGATCGCAAGAAAACCGGGAATGTCACATACAATTCGACGAATCGCATCCGTCGATGCACACTAAGTGATGAGCCCTTGAGTTGAGGACCAATCCACATCCTCGAGCCGCAAAAATCGCGATTCCTTCGTTTCTCTCCCTCCTTATTTTCGTTTCTGGCCGATGTTTCGTGTCCTTCGATTACGGCAAAGGCGCCGACCCCCTCTCTCGCTTGTTCGTCCTATCTAGACGTTCAAGTTTATTTACTTCCTATGTACCTCAAGGCGCCATCCTACGCCACACACACCTGCTGTTGCTTTTTCCAGCTACATACCAGACAGACATTTCCCTTTATTGTATCTTTCCTTGGGCTGGTTTCTTTGGGGGACTTCCAAAAAATTTCCTATGTGGGCTACTATCTACCTATTTGTACATGCAACGGCGTATTGATTTTGGGGCATGAGCGTCGGGCGTATCTGGTTTTTGGCGTATTTTGGAGGAGAAAAGTACGCATGTATATACAGACGGGCGGGCAGCCATAGCTATTGTATGGTAACTTATTTATCTGGTTATCATGAGGTTCTATGGCATACAAAGCTGCGTTCTTTTGGCTCTGGGCAGTCACTAAATGTTGGACGTCGCTTCACAGATGTTGCTTTTGACTGTCCGCTCCCATGTCAGCATAGTTGTTTTCTCACCTACGGTGGCGCTGGACGTCAGGTATTCTTGGGCTTCTTCTCCTATCTGCATATGTGTCTTCGGATGGAAGGGTCTGGGGGTTTGGGAGTTTCAATTACTTTATCAATCACATCCTGCGACTCTTTGCTCGAGTGATATTATGTACACAGCTGCCACAAATCCACGAACAAAACCCGTCCATTCCAAGCCCGCGGGATGTGGCTCGGGAGACCAGGAGAGAGAGCCGGCATGCCTGAGAGCTGCTCAGACTAGCTGTAGGAAGATTCCTACTCGTTAGACTGCGTGCCTTGCCTTAGAGTGCTACGTACGGAGATAGCACCAAGCTTCAGCGGTATCATTCTAGGGTGGTCAAGTTCTGAAAGGTCCGCGCAGGCAAAGGTGTAGGCTCCCAAAGGCGTGCTAGTATGACTGACTTCTGTCCTTCTTCTTTTACGAGTACATGTCCAACAGGCACTACTGCCTCCTACAATGCTCATAGATCAGTAGTGCTGTAATATATATTTGGTTTTATTTAATTAACATCACAGACGGTCGCATGGTGTAGTGGTTATCACATCTCGTTTACAGTGATGTAAAGGTTTCAACAGCTCCGAGAAGGCCGCAAGTTCAATCCTTGCTGCGATCAATTTTTCTCATTTTTTAATGATGGACACTGGTGACTGGACAGCAAACATCGCGTTGCTTTTGGATCCATTTTTTGAATGGCTTATGCAACATGGTCTGTGAGATAAGATTAGATCATCAGCTCCCTGCCGTAACCGATAAGCTATGCTTATCCACCCACCTGACGACGACGACGACGACGACGACGACGACGACGACAGCTACCGATCACACGTATACCTACCAAACATTGTGCACGCTGACCCCACGCCCACGAGCTCAACCATGGCGTCCCCACCCTCATCACCCGACCTGCATCCCCCAGACTACCTCCAAAGCGCGAGCTCACCACCGTCCGAGTCCGAACGCACACCACGGACGACGATGCGCTCGCCGGACCCATCGACCTCATCGCCGCCAAGCATGTTCCTCCCGCCGCCCATCGTCCCAGCTACCACCTCCACATTCTCTGTCAAGTCCGCCCTCGAGCTGCAACGTAGTCCGCTGCAGCAGCTGCAGAACCAGGGCCGCCGCCTCACCGCTGAGCTCCAGGACCTGCTCGATGCGCAGTCGCTCGCGCTGATGTCGCCCAGCACCCCCAGCGCCGCTACCACCAGCAGCAGCGGTGGGTGGGAGCGGAGGAAGAAGGGGCGGAAGAAGCTTCCCGTCGACCTATCCGCAGCGCGAACCGGGATCCTGACAGCGATGCGCGAGCTCTCTGACGTCAAGGAGCGCGAGGCATTGCTGTACTCGTCGATGGTGGTGGAGCGGCAGCAGCTGCTTACAACGGTGACCACGCACGCTTCGAAGACGGCGCAGATACGGCAGCAGCTGGGGAAGATGGATGCTGAGGCCGAGGCCAGGGAGGTGGAGAAGCTGCGGAATGTCAAGATGGGCTTGGCGGAGGAGATCGATGCCAAGAGGTGGGAGCTGCTGCAGCTCGAGAGGGAAATGAAAAGTGTGAAGGCGAGGCTGGCGGGGTTGGAGAATGTCGTCGAGGCTAGACAGAGTAGTTATAAGGGCGCGTTGGAATCGTCGGGACGGCGCATGTCGCAGTTCTTGAAGACGCAGGGGCAGGAGAGTCCTCAGGCGGCGGCGGAGACTTGGAAGCTGGAGGCCCAGGCGTTTGCGGGGAAGAAAGAGGCGGCGGAGAAAGAGCATGAGGCGCTGTGTGAGGGGATGGAGCTGTGGGAGAGTGCTATGGACGTGGTATCGGCGTTTGAGGAGCGCCTGGCGACACGGCTACAGGAAGAGACTGGCAATAGGCAGGAGTTGGGGAGGTGGATCTCGCAAGAGCTGGACAAAGCTGTGACGGAGCTCGATGAGAGGGTGCAGAGGGCAGAGACCGAGGGGTGGAAGTTGTTGATTGTCGCGATCGGCGCGGAAGTTCAGGCTATGCGGGAAGCGGGCGAAGTATTAAAGAGGAGCTTCGGCGGTGGCGGGCAAGTCGGTCAGCTTGTGGAGCACGACGAGGAGGAGGGCCGGCCAGAGATGGTGGGGCTTGTCGAGAGGAAGGGAAAGAGGAATAGTTATTCCCCTTTGGATGATTAGCGGGTTCTTTTTGGGTTTGCGTGCTGCTTTTTGTTAATGGGTATATGGTGTTACACATGGGATTATTGATGTTTATGATCCGACTTCGAGATAGTTTCATAGGAGACTTGGGATGGTAGATTCATGTAGGCGCAAAGTTAGTCCTCGGACGTCCAATACAATAGTTTGTCTTTAGGGCCGCAGCAGCAGTCAGGCCTGTAAGTAAGCAAAGAAGATGAGACACTCTAGACCGGCGACTGGAGAATGGACATCCCATGCTACAGTCCCTCACGATTCCTCACTCGTGAAATGAAGGAGTCGAACTTCCTCAACTGTAAACGCAGCACATGACTGCACTCCAATTACTCGAAAGCTCAAATTACATCAGTTCTTTTACTGCTGGCGCAACCTAATTAGGTTGTGACCAGCCACATTGACCGAACAGTTTCTATCCACGGTCCTAGTACATACTACATACGATCCACCGAATGCCGGCATGTCTGCATATGCTCGCTTCCACCACAACCAAAGTATTGAACACAGGTGTGGTAGAAGGGTGCATTTTGATATACGTCCATTGATCTTCGTGGGTTCGGTTGGTGTCCGCCGGATAGTCGAGTTGCTGGTTTGTTGATCCGTCGTGATGTCGCCGGGTACGTGATCCCAGTTGTTGTCTTCTGTGCGGCCTGCGTTACGTCCGCACTCCCTCCCCACAAAATTCCCTGAATGAAGGCTGTAGGTTCATTAGTATCCGCCGCGTAAGGTGTTGTCCAGTTGGTCCCCAGGTTCCCACCGTAAACGTCCACATGTTTGCTACCAAGGTTGTCACAGTCAAGGTATTGAGAACCAAGATGTGACGTGTGGACGATTGTTGGTGTACTTCTTTCGATCCGCGCTGGTAGTGACGTCCTGGTGCTCGTCGGATGGTTCCTTTCTTGGTAGAAAGAGTATCTACCAAGAGTGGTGTTGATGTTGGTGATCGTAGTGAGGAAGAGGAAGAGGAAGACGAAGAGAAGGAAGGAAGGAAGGTAGTAAGTAGGATGTGTGCGGTGGAAGAAGGAGCCCTAACTAGGGCTATCATTCAAAGGGTGGATAGAAACCGATACTAGCCAGCAGAACGACCCTTCAAAAGACAAGACCCACTTTCCAACTTCCAAGCCATCCGGCGATAGCTATAAAACCCCCCCTCTCCCCTCTCCTCCCATCTTTTTTCTTCAAGCACAGGCATGAGCAAAGCACAACAGCAGTGGCAAGAGTAAAGAGCAAACACATAGCAGTGGCAAGAGCACAGCGGACTGACATAACGCCCCTTACGTGGTTGAGGTTTTTTCCCTTCGGATTTCCTCTAAAAAAACATCACCTTCCTGGCTGCAATGCGAGGAGACGAGGTTTTTTGTGGTCCATTACTACATAGGCTCCGTGCGAGGAAAGCACATCATGCCTGGTGGTAGTTATGGGGCCGATAGAAACCAGCATTGCTCGCTCGTCTGTTTCCGACTGCGTAGGTTGACCGATGGATTGGAAAGTAGCAAGGTCAACATAAGTATGTATAAGACCATTCAACTCGCGAGTGGCAGATTTGGCGGCAATCCACAGATCGAACATTCCGGTATGCCGTATGACCTTCTTTCTAGATTGCTACTCCAAAGTCACAGTGACCTTTATAGTTAGGGAATTCTGTAGTTTTCTCTTCTGCGGGCTCCAAATCCTTTCCTCCTCAGCTGACCTCTGAATCGAGTGACGGATTGGACTGTTTGAACGAGGAAACAAAACCCGAGAGATAACTTTAAAGTACCAGGTCAGGTACTCTTCTTATTTCTCTGTGTACCTATACCACCGCAGTGCCCATTTACTTTCCATGTCATAGGGAAATGACACGGAAATGTTGCCACCGCTGGCGTCCACGAACAGACCATTCGATGGGTAGTTCATGTTCTTGCACGACAAACACTGGTTCTTCGGATCGCGGACCGAGAAAGAGCGCGCGGATGACTACGTAAGCAGGCTCTGGGTGGATACCCGGGAGCGTGTGAGGGGGAGTGAACCGTCGGCTCATGACGGCGGACGCTCGTGGCATCATTCAAACGTGTTTCGACCGGGAGTGCGTGTTCACGATCACGAGCACTCATCCGGATTCCACCCAATACCTGCGGCATCGTGGTGGTACTTACATGGTATCGATACATGGTACATACCAGCCCGTAGTTAGCGGTCACGATCCGTGAGGCTGTGACCTCCCCTCCCCCTCCTTCCCATAAGCCACGCGAGCAGCGTCGCCTGTGGCGGGTGCGGTGGGTGCGGTGTCATTTCGGCGCGGCCTCAGTTGATTGATTGACCAGCCTCCAATTCCAATTCAATCTTCAATTCCGATCCCAATTGCAATTACAATTCCAAATACCAATTCAAAGCCCATGCCTCCGGAGGACCAGCCGCGGCACTTGACACGGGCTTTGTTTTCTTCTCCTCCTGGAGACGATTAACCGAATGCCCTACCCACCTATGTACATATACCTGCAGAGTGCGGCAGCGGGAGATCTGCTGACCAGGTTAAAGCAAATAGAGTAGCTGTCCCGGACGTTTCCGATACAGCTTGCCGCTGTTACATGCCGGAACCTGCGGTGCGGAGATATCTTATTCCGGCGGAGTTCCGGTATACTTTCGAAGGCTGTTTCATCGCCTGGGCCCTCCGCACCCGCACCCGAGCGCCTCTGTTTCTACGCGATGGGCTTCGTGTCGTTGTTATGTACTCGTCCAACCGATCTGTTTGGAGTGTATGGGCTGTTTGTTTGATCGTCAACTACGTCCCCCCTACCGTATCCAGATCGTAGCGATATACTACAAGTAGTATAAACTCCGTTTCCATATCCACTGGAGGAGGGTGTGAGTGACCACTCATGCATAGCCGAAACGACAACCACGGTGGTCTCAGGGAAGATCCCATACCATCCCATACCATACCGTCCCATTCCATACCATCCCGTCCCATCCCGTCCGCATTTTGCAAATCCATACATACATCCCAGCTTTACGCCGGCAGCTGTCAACTATTTTGGTAGAGTAACACCACCGGGCCGAGCCGATAAACAGCGGTAGTTATTTAGTTGACCTCTGGAGACGAACCATAGATCAGCGTAATTACGTACGTATGTAGAGTATGTATGGATGTACGTATGTATGTATAGTACAACCGCGAGCCGGGAGATAACCTCCTCCTCCTCGTCGTCGTCGTTATATATTGGCTGTTACTACCGTAACGAGCATCTGCCGCGCACACACAAGTGACAAGTCCGACTCCCGAGAACCGTCCCGTACCGGCCGCTCATATGTAGCCATATCCATATACGGTACCTCTCGGCTAACCGACTGACTGGCGGTAAGGCTGTGGCTGTGGCTGGGGTGATGAGGCGGTCAATGGCCGTTCCCGAAGGCCAATCTCCGCCCGTTCCCGCACCACCATCACCATCGCCGCCGCCTCTGGCCGGCTGGCCGTGACATGACACGACATGATCCGATGCGATCCGCCAGGAACCCCCCCGCCGCGGATCCCGCCCCATGCACGCCACTCGTTATGAAACTGTACACGTGCGGGCATGATCCCATCATGCTCATCACCGCCTGCCGCCGCCGCCAGCTTTGGGAGCTGCTCGCATGGGACTGACTGGCCAGTGTGCGCTTCCCGCTTCCCGCTTCCCCGTGTATAGTTACAGCATGATACCTGCGTGGTTCGAACTTCGGAGATCATTGCCCTTTCGCTCGCTGTACCCTTTCTCTCCCCGCCCGCCGAGCGTCGAGCGTATACTACCTACCTACACTATAGTAGGTACAGCAAGCAACCGACCGCCCGACCACCGCCCCAGCTCCCCGCCGTTCCGGTGGGTTCAGTTTCACGGCACATCACTCACGTCGCTTCGGACAACAGCGGGTCTTTGTTCCATGTTCCATGCCCCCCCGTTCGTTCGTCGTTCGTCGTTCGTCGTCCGATGGCAGAGGAGCTCCAAGCGGAACTCGGATCGGAGAATTAAAAGAAGGTGTGCCCTGCCCTAGTAGGCACCAGGTACCTACCTGGGCATATTCCACCTAGCTAGGTATTCTATTCCCCCCCCCCCCCCCCCCAGGGCAGGGCAGGGCAGGGCAAGGTTTGCACATGTTGTTCGCAGTACCTCCCCCCAACACCCCACCCCACCCCTGGTCGGATCTACGGGCTTGAGTAGAAAATGGCCTGGGTACATATGGAGGTATGGGCGACCCCCTTGTAGGAAATACTCAAACTGCCGCACAGAACTGCGCTGCACTGCGAGGCGAGGCTCGGAGGGATAGAAGGTCCGGACCCGTGGGTGCTGGTACTGGCGGAGGGAGGAAACATCCGGGCGTTGACGCATGTATGTACCAAGTATGTATGTATGTGTGTGATGTATGTAGGTATTTACGGCTGGGCTGGGCTGGGCTGAGGTGAGGGCATGTATGTACCTACGTCAACATGTATCATGTATCATGTATCATCGGACATGCCTTATGTACAGGGCGTGATGAGTAACATGTACATGAAAAGCAAGTAATCCGTTCAGCCCGGCCCCAGAGCAGGGACGATCATACATATCAATCCTGTGAGCACATTGGACATTGGGGTCCCTTCTGCTGACAAACAAACAAAACACAAGCCGGAGGCCCGGAGTTTGAAGCTCGAACGAATCGATCACACGACCATCCAGCACTCACCGAGTCACCGTAGAAAAACTATCTCCGCAAACCCCGTACCCTACTCTCCTCTAGAGTACCGGTAACTACGGTATGTACGGTATGTACGGTATGTATGTGCGGTATGTACATGTCGAATTGACTCGATTTCGAATCGAACAGAATTGTGAATTGAATTGCGAATTGGGGATCTTATTGCCGGGGGGGAAGGCAGGCGGCAGGCCACCAGGCACCACCTCCTCTCCTCTGGGCACCGGTGCGTTTCGGAGTCCATACGATACGATATGATATGAGAACAGTGGCAGTGGCAATCACAATGCACCGTACTGTACGGTACTGTAGAGCACCGGTATGTACGGTACCTACCTACCTACTTCCTACCTACGCCCGCCCTGAAACGCGCCACCCCCCCCCCCTCTTCCCCCACGCCATAATCGCCAGAGAGGAAAGGAAAGGTAAGGAAACAGACGCTCGGCAAACAGACCCGTAAACATCCGTACGTATGGTGGCTGGATAGGCATCTATGTATATAGTATTATCTACCTACATATGTACTCTATCTCTCGGATCTCCCATCAAAACAATCAATGCAAAGCCTTCTTCTTTTCTCGGCGTGGGGGGTTCGGGGGTTCCTTCGGCCCTTCGTCGTAGCTCGCCTACCTACTGCTCTAGTAAATCCCCCACGCACGCGCTGTAATCTGAGAGCAGGTAGGTACATAAAGGAGATATATGAAATGTATGTACACCATCGGCTGGATCTGAACAGTGGACGATGCGGAGTGTAGAGTAAAGTGCTCAGTATTCACAGCCGAGACTAGAGGAGGCGCTTTAATCCGTATTAGAGTAAGTTTTACCAGCCAGCCAGCCTTGTGTCGAGAAAGCACAGTCCGGGCAGGGGAGTACGGTAGGCAGTTAACTATAGAAAGAGGCCAGATAGAGAGTCTCAGGAAGCCCCCGTAAAGGTAACCAACGCCCGCTAGAATAGTTACAGAACTAACCTAGCATCTCACATTCAATTTCACCATCGTCAGCCGCTGCAGAATTGATGGCTCGTGAATTCGTCCCTGGCTCCCAGCGAAAGAAGAAGAAAAAGGAAGGAAAAAAGGTTCTCGAACGCTCGCCTCGAGCTGGCCAATGGGCGTATGTCCGGGACACGGGCTGTGACAGCCTACAGGCCACGCCACTCGGCCCTGGCGCCACCATTGCCACTGCTCGGATGAATGATTCCGCTCCACTCGATTTCCTCCCCACTCGACGTCCCCGGTGGCGCGGTCACCGACGACGACGGCAGAGAGCTGCGAGCTGCGAGCTGCGATACGACATATTGCTAACTAACGTCGAACTAAGCCTCGTGGCTTCTCGTGTGCGACGTCATGCACGGGATGAACACCTGTAGGAGGATGAATCGTGGGAGTGAAGTTTTATCTGGGTATCTAGAGCCTAGAGTATCCACATATCTCGGTGGTTAGCTACGGTAATAGGTAAGTAGATGTAGATACCGGTACATGCCTCGATGGTGCTCTGTGCGAGCGCGTGCTGCCCCCCACTCGGACCGTCGTGCCTATCGAGCCCGACGCTCGCGCCGGATGTTCTTCGGAACTTTGGCAGCCATGCGGGTTCTATGAGCACCGTACATCATAGGTACATACTAGTGCATACTCTACCTGAGAGAACGAAAGCGCGCCAGCGACGGTAGTTGCTTGCATTGAATCATCGGTGGAGACGGCAGTCGTTCCCATCGTATGGTACGGTACGGTACATACCGCCGTTGCCACTCAAGGTCCAATCTGCGAGGGATCGATCCAACAACGCGCGCTCCCGCAGGAATGCAGCAGCGACTGCACAGTGCAGCGGCATTTGTTCTTTCTGGGAAACCCATAGAGTAGATAGTAGGTTATGCACGCACGCACGGCTTCTAGGAGGCGTCTAGGGGGACCACGGTACCGAGAAAAGAAAAAACCCGTGGGGGGTCGCCGTCGTGGTGCAGAATCCAAAGCCGTCAAGATCATCGCCACGGAACCGTCCGTGCAGTGCAGTACGACGAGATCAGCCTTAAATCCTTGATCGGTGCGTAGGTAACCAAGTAGATATGCCCTCTCGATCGACAGCGGTCTTCCAAATGTCTTTCCGAATCGGTTTCATCATCAATAGAGCGCCCATCCATTGCCGGGGATAAGTTGTTAATCAGAGTGAGCTCCGAACTTCGACGACGTACATAGATACGGCAGTTAGGTAGACGAACTGCAGGACAAGATGGCTGTGATAGGTATCCAGCCGCACTTTCCAATCATGACAAAAAGCGGCCCGGGAAGAATCAGCACAAAGTTGCCTTTCTCGGCCCTATCGAAAAATATTCACCTGCCTACATTCCGGGTGGGCGCGTGCTTTTTTTCACGTAGAGTGGAGCGGTTCATCTGACGCATCATCATCAATCGTTTTCGCGGTTAGGATGCTCGGTACGCGAGATCGATCGATCGGGATCCCCTTCCTTTTCCTCCTCCCTTTTTCCTTCGACTTTCTTCTTTGCTGTTGCCTTATTTGTCCCTGGGCAAAATAAGCATAGACTTGCCGCATCCAGGCAAGGTTTCATCGCGAAGAAGGCAGGCTAGAACTTCAAGGCAGAAATTGGATCACTCATGAACCCCGGGGTTTGATTCAACGCCCGCGGTGCCGAACAACCATCATACTAGACAGGTTTCGCAGGGCCTGAGGGATCTCTGTGAGCCGTGTTTTTAGCGCGCCGAGCCCTCACGTGAAAAAAAAACACCTTTCGCAACTTTGCGGTGCGGTGCGGTGTGGGCTGAGCGAAAGTGGACTACTCTAAACATTAGCGGCTTTTCTAGTATAGACTCAGTAAAAATTCTCCGGGACAGGGGAGAACAGAGTACAGCGGCGGCGAGAGGAGAGCAGAGCACGACAGTATAGAGAGGAGTACTCCAACATCTCTGCGATGCTCATAGCGAAGGCCAGCGTCGTCGCACTGTCGACATGAACTTCAATGCGGGTTGGAGAGACTCACCGCGCGGTATCTCTAGCGTGAGGGATCTCAAATTTAACCTGTAGCGCTTTTTTGTCACCTCACTAAGCCTAAAACGATCCCGCAAACCATCCCTCACGACCTGCGAAACCTGTCTACTAAACCATATCTACCCATCATCCGTCCACAACGGAATCGCATTCCTCGTGTTCGAGAACATGCAGGGTACTCCGCCTCTCCACCCCCCACAGAAACGTGTGCTCTCAACACGACTGGACTGGATAGGCAGAAGTTGCTGCATCATCTTCTTCTCAAACCTACGCGGAATCCCCTAGTGGCCCTTGGTCGCCCACTTTTTAGCGCCTCTCGTTCCGAGTCCATGTGAAGAGTGACTCGATGATAAACGTTGAGCACGCAGGCTACTGTATCGTTGGGCACATGTGGACCCTGGGGTTGCTCGCATACACCGGTCATATTGCTTCCTTCCCTCCCCCCACCCCCTCCGCCGTGCCCTATCTGACTCGGCTGATACCCCATGTTTTCACTGCCTCGCAAAATACAGTGAAAGAAAGGGACTCGTCGCAAATAGAGTGGTAGGTCATGGCATTATCGGTGAACGAACGAACGGTAGGTCCCAGATCCTCACTCATTCGTTGCCGTCAGGCTCTCCGCCATCCCGCGCAGCCTGACTCATAGTGATCCAGCGATCAAACAAGTCAACCGTATCTCCGCCAGTCTTGTCCCCAGCCTTTCCTTTTCCCTTCTCCTTCCTCTTCTCTTTGCGTGTGACCACGAGGCAGAGCACCTTGTCGTAGATGGTGAAGCCCTCGTACTCGGTCCGAAACTTGACCTTTTCCTTCTTGTCCTCCGTTCCTGGCTCTCCCAATTGCGTCTCAGCTCGCCGACCCCGTGATGGAGGAGGAGGAGAACGACGGGGAACGAAATCGTCATCCGAGTCGGAATCGCCAGGTCCAGGGAGGAATAGCGGTTCCTCCTCCACGCCGGCCGGCGGCGGCGGCGCCTCGGGAATGTCCATGATTTGCATCTCGTCATCCGCATCCTCCTCTTCGCGGATCTGCACTACGGGCGAGGACCTCGCCGCGTCGGTAAGAGCTGTGGAATTTGACCTTATGGGAAGCGTCTTGACCTCGACGTCGCGATCCTTGCGGAGCACGGCATGCAGCGAACCCGCACCGGTAAGGTACATGGCGGCCTCGAAGTCCTCTATTACAGTATCATTAATTAGAAACAACCGGTACATACATATGGGATGTGGGGGTGAGCATGTGTATGTGCGTGGGGGGTGAGCTCCACGTACCGCCGACGACGACCTGCTTCTCCTTCGCCTTTACTCTGGCGGCGCCGCGCAGATTGCGCGCCTCCGACAGCATCGGCAGCACCAGGTGCTTAATCTCGGCAAAGACGCGGTCGATTGCGCCGGCACGCGTGAGCCACAGCACGTCTGCAGGATTGGGCACGAAGACGCGGGCTTCCAGCACTCTGTGATCGATCGGCTCGTGGGTGAGGTTAGCTCGCTTTCGGGTTCGGTTCGGTCTCTCCCTCTTCCTCCCCTCTCTCCCTCACTCCCCCCACCCCGCTCAGCCCTGCGGGCGTGCGCGGATATGTACGATACATGGGGGGCTGTATGTAGCTACATACGTGTATTTGGAGACGCGGACATAGCGGCGGAGAATTGGCATCGTGCACGTGTGCGTGTGTAGTGCGGTATGTAGTGGAGTGTCTTCACCGTTTGCTCTAGATATAGCACCTCGCTGCCGGTGTAGAATGATTGGTGTATGGTAGAGTAGTGCGACCTTTCCGAAGCGAAAGCGAGGAGCCGAGGCGAACGTGGTGGGCTTCACTGGGGAGCGAATACGTTGGCGAAGTCACCATGTCTCGATGCGTACACGTGTGCAAGTGTTAAAGCCGCAAATAATAATGTGGCCTCGCCTCGAGCTGACACCCACCACCAAGCCTGTCACGCCGTCATGAACGCTCACTCACCCGGGCTGCTTACCTCGGCTGCGGTCTCGATTGTAATCCCGAGAGTGCGTGCGTGCGCCGAACTTCGCGGAAGCTGAGAAAGCAAGAAAGCGTGGGGGGTAAGTGGCGTGACGCCTCTCTCACTATTTTTTTGAATCTATTTCACGGAGCTGCGGACGCAGGATTCATCCGTAGCCGTAGATGTGTGTGCTATGTAGAGTAACGATTACAGAGCGCCGCTCAGGTAAGCTGGATGGATAGACATCAACCGAACGTTAGTAATGTACTGGCCCGCGACGATATGAATCGTGCATTATCTACAGACATCCATCAGAGCTCTATACCACCAACACCCCACGCTGAACCGACCCTGCCTGAAGGCTGAGTGTCAGTTAACGTCGACGTTACAGATTGATTTCAGCAATCTGCTTTGCTACCGGCGGCAGCGGGAGAAATGCGATAGTTATCCCGCGTATGTAGAGTCGCGGAGCTCAGGGCTGGACTGTCGCAGGTATGTAGGGAAGGGAAGGGAAGGCAATGGGCTGAGCTGAGCTGAACGGAGCTGAACTGAACTGCTTGCCATGCGCTGCGTCGTCGTCGTCGTCGTCGTCAGCCCCGACAGGTTGTAATGTAAACATGTAGGATCGAAGTATGAGGTATGTACACAAATATGATTGCCTATGTAGAGTACACATGGGGGGTGGAGCATCGCGCGGGGGTAGCAGCCGTTAATGTTCCTGGCGTCCGACTGCTAACATAGCGGTGCCCATCTCTTACTGTAGTAGTTAGTGGTAGTACTAATAGTGGTAACACGGAAATAACATCCGTGCATCACTCTTTTTTCGAAATAAAATCGCGGTACCGAGTTACCCGCGACCACATATTCATACATAGCGGCCAGTGAAACAAACAACTGACACCACCACCACCACACCATCACCGAGCTTACATATGTCCCTCCGAATCGCGCACGGCCGCGAATTCGCTGGTGCGCGTCGTCTTGGGCCCCCCGACCCCGACCCTTCATCTGTAGGATCGTCAGGAGCCGAGTTTCAACTCAACACGAGGGGGCACGGACTGCATGTTGCAACACCGCCACCACCTCTACAAACGTGGTGTCGAGTGAGTGAGTGCGTCGATCGAGAAGGGGGTTGCTCACTGCTCGGAAAAGACGGGCTAAGGAACGTGATTTGGAGGGACCGACTTTCGAGCCCGCCAGCATCTTTGCACGGGCACCGTTCTCACGATCGAAACGGCGATACCCGCTCAATCACCGAAAGGCGGCCATTTCCCTGCCTCTCTGTATGTATGACGAGCCCTGCTTCCACGTGGATCTTGGACGATCAACTCGAGCTGTCCACAACTACCCAGGTACTCAGCTACGAGAGCTCCACTCGACGGCCAGCAGTATTCCCAATTACTTCATTCGATCCCCCGCCCCATGTACCTCAGTACCTGAGTATGTAAGACTCAGCTCGGCCATCCCCAACTGATCACCGGTATCCATAGCACTTAATACCTATACGGCAGTCGACTCCAAGTTTCTATTACGGTACCGCCAGTGTACTCTGTAGTAGAGTCTCCTCGGATACGATCGTAAGCCGTGGGGTCCGAGACTCGCAGTTTCGCATATCCAGATACCAATTAGTAGAATACCCATAAGAATAGGGTGCCGGAGTAAATCAGCTCCGCGTCGGCGAGGACACAGTGTTTGCTTGCCGTAATGCTGCCGTTCCTACTTTGTATGTATTGTACCTGTTCCGGGCAAGCCGTCCACCCGCCTGCGGTCCTTTACCCCAAATCGCCGGGACGAAGCCGTACCCATCGGGCGTATGTACCTAATGCATATGGGCACAGTATGTATGTTTTTTTGGCCACAGCTTCCAGCTCCTCCGAGTCCGACTCCGAGTCCGGACATGAGACGGCGCTACCGTATGTTGGTACTCTAGAGGTAGGTATCGCGTTTATCTGTAAGGCGCGACGACGCCTCTCATGGATTGAGGGGGGGGGGGCTGTGCAGTTCACGTCTGCCTGACTTTGTTCCAGGGGAGAAGGGGATAGGGATAGGGATAGGGATAGGGATAGGGATAGGGATAGGGATGAGGATGCAATTATCTACCTATTGGGTAGAGGGAGCTGATACATATCATACAGAAATACATACGAAACTTGGATTCACCGTGCCGTTGCATGCATTGCATGCACTAATACATAACCTCCCTATGTATTGCATTATTGCACGAGTTCCGTGTCTTCAAGTAGAGATTGCCATAGCCCAAAAAGCTACATGATCACCACTCTACGCGTACGCGAGCTGTAAGTAGAGTGTGCATCAAAGTAGAGCATCTCGCCGCCACCACCGCCGTCGCCGCCGCCGCGCGCATCCTTCATACATGGCAAATTATGTAACTCCCTAATGAAGTTTGACCTGAGCAGCCCCTAGGAGGTACTTTTGTATGCATAAAGTACTTTCCCTATGCACGTTTTGGTTTTTTCTTTCTTTTCGCGGAGACATTGTGTAGAGTACTAGCACTTATACCGTATGTTCTCCATATAGGAGTTACATACAGGAGTTACATACACGAGTTACAGAGCAGCGCAGAGCAGAGCAAGGGATGGACGAACGAACAAACGTCAAAAAAGCCCGTGCATCTCCCTCTCCCCATTTCCCAAAGCCCATCTCCCCACCCATTTCCCCAATACGCATCTCTCCCATCTCCCCCATCCCCAGGGCCCATCCCCTCCATCTCCCCAGGGCCATCTCCGCAAAACCAAATTCGACGCGACACGACACGTGTGACCCCTGGCATACTTACACAAAGGAGAGAGGGAGGGAGCCAGGGAAACCCACCCCTAAAAAGAAAACGTAAAAGGAAAGCCGAAAAGGAAAAGGAAACTAAAAAAGAAACGAAAGGAAAGAGAAAAAAATATCCCAACAGCTTTGAGCTCACGCTTTCCATGCGTGTGTGCGCGCCGTGCGTGCGGGCGAACGTGCGACAGAAGTAAGGGATAGGGCCAGTGGGCCACGATGGGTTGGGAATACCACGCGAGTTGCCTTGGTACCTTGGTATCATACTTGCTTACCAGTATGATATCCCGTCCCTCGTGGAAAGAAAAAAAAAGGGACTGCGGTGGGGAATTCAACGTGGACCTCCTTTCCAATCCAGTCCCGTCCTGTCCTGACGATTCCTGTCCTGACGATTCCTGTCCTGACTAGTCCAGTCCTGCATCGAAAAAGCAAAAAGAAAAGAAGCCAAAAAGAAAAAGGGCCAAAAGAAAAAAGGGCTAAAAGCAGAATAGCTAAAACAAAAAAAAGAAAAAGAAGGGGCGTGAGTGGCCAATGCCATGGTGTTCCCACATGGTGTTCCCACCACATGGCACATCGTAGCGGGATAGATATCGATTTCTTCGATGCTCTCACATCGCCTCAGCGACGGGTGTGGAGGGACGGACGGATATGGACGGGCCAGTGGGTGTGGATGGATGGATGGATGGCCCAGTGGGTAGGTATCAATGATCAGCCTATCCATACACATACACATACGTCCAAGCTGAACATTGATTCCAGCTGCAAGTCCCATCTGCAAGCCCCCAGCTGCAATCCTGCAATCCTGCAAGCCTCAATGTCTGCTCAGTGCTGCATCAGTGCATCTTTCTCGTCTGAGTCTTGACAAAGGCCTTCGGCGGACCGGAACGCTCGTGGCTGTCTGCATCTATGCGCATCGTGATCGTGGTTCTCGGCTGGTCTTCAAACACCGAACCGGGGCCGGAGCGGAGCCGGAGCCGGAGCCGGAGCGCCACCCTGATGTGTCCGACGGGAACATACTTACGGGCTACGTGGTAACCAATGACGATCTCTACATATCATATCATACATACCGTAGTACCGTAGTATCTACCGTAGTATGTCTGTACCTATCCCGCGTCACGATCGAGAAAACGAGACCCTCAGGTTCTCCAACCAAGGTCTCCGTGGAAGTAGAAGTGGACTTCTTCTCTGAACTTTCAGGGTACATCTCATTGGTAGGTACAAACCGTACCTGCATGCGGTAGTTCGTCCCAACTTTTACAAAATTGCGGAGAAGATCTAGAGCTACATATCCACGTTCCCAGTCCCCACTTGCAACCCCCCAGAACACGGAGTTCCTGAGAGCGCGCAGGCTAGAGTAAAACTAGAGTAGCAAACCGGTGAACCTGAACCTGACCTGACCATCATCAGGATTGCGGTTTCTGCGTGCGAGCGAGCGGTCCGCACTAGGAAACTAGGCACGATGTGTACTAGACAGGTACATAGATACTCCAAGTCCAAGCAGAGAAATTTTGCCGCGCCGTTCACGGATATACCTTGGTAACTAGTATGTACCCGTACTTAGTGCCAGTTATGTATCATAGGGCTTCACGTCTCTGGTTCGTTCTGGTCGGCGTCCAGGCCAAGTGAAAGTGCCCTTTGAAGGGCAAGGGCAAAAGGCAAAAGGGCAAAAGGGAAGCTGATGGGAATTGCTTTTGTTTTTTTCTCGCGTGGAACATGCAAATGTCGAACGACGCCCCCCAATCCCATCCCCCCCTCCAAGCCCCCCTCACTTGCTTGCTGCGCCGTTCTCAGCTTGCCTGCTTGTTGTTTGCCCTTTGTGTGCCTTACCGGACCCGAGGAACCGACACGACTCCGCTGCCAGTAGGTATGTGGGTAGGTGTATGTACCGTATGTATGAAGGAGTGCATGAAGCACGTCTTTTCCCGATGATGCTGCTGCGTTATAGTGACTAGATCGTACCCACAGCTCGGGTCTGCCAGCTGTAGCGGTGGCCGAGAACGTCCTCGCGGGCTCCCGGGCTCCCACGACGATGATGACGGTGCATACCCGAGGAAGGTAGGTCGGTATGCATAGGTGCCTGATCGAGAAGTTCTCTCTTCGGTACTGGATGTGCTCAGCAGCAGCACGGAGTGTGCATAAAGTTTGCCTCCGTGTATGTATGTAGAGTACACACGATACATGAGGAGCTCATTTGCCACTCGCGTCGAACGGTCTCAAATAGGTGGATGGGCAGAGAAACCAAGCTGCCGACCGAAGACGCTGGACGCAGCCGCTGGTGCGGTGCGGTACGGTGCAGTGCAGTGCGGATTACTC